AAGGGAAAACAGAAAAAAAAAAGGAAGAACATGTCATTCCAAAGGTACACCTGATCACATGAGTAGAGATAAGCTACAAAGACTAGAGTGCAGAAGAGTACAAATTCCAAGCCACACTGTTCACCATAGCTAAAGTTGAGCCTTGAGAGTAATGGCTAATTTCAAATTTCGAGGACTAGTGGTTATAGTAGCCTAACATGTGTGATGACATTTGAGAAAGAAATTCAAACATCAACAATTTTGTTTCAAGTCTTCCACAGCATGCAAGCATTTTTCAACGGAAACTATCGCTACCATTCTTCCTCAATTATCTAAGAACTTTGCTTCCTCATTAATCACAAAATCTAGTGTTGCAACCCTATGTACTCGGTGTGAGCCTTTCATCTCAAATTTCCTAGCTAAATTTAAAGATTTTTGAGTAGATCGCCATAATATTGACTATAATCAAAAGATATTTTCCAACAACCACCAAATAATAGTAACTTTGAATAATGCAAGAGCAATAACATGAACATTCGAAGATTTTCAAGCACAATCTCACCATAATATTGACTATATTCAAAAGAGATTTTCCAACAACCAACAAACAATACCAATTGTGAGTAATATAAGAGCAATAATATGTTCATTCGAAGAGTTCGAGTGAAATTTCGCCATAATATTACCAAACAATAGCAACTATGAATAATTTAAGAGCAACAGTTTATAAATATCATCACATGGACGATCTTGTATCTTTACCTTTCTCTCTTATCTTTTTTTCACTACCAAAAATCTTATGCCCAACTCCTATGGTGCAATAAAAAAGAACGGAGGAAGTATTATTTTTGCTAAAATTTGAAATAAATCTGCGAAACAAAATTTAATTTATTGGAGGAGGTATGTTTTTTTGCTTGATGCAATTTGTATTACTTAATGTTACATATAATAGGATGCATTTTTTTTTCCTGTTAATAATATATTGTATTACATTTACGTACGTAGTATTACATTTTAATTTACTAAAAAAATGCAATTTATATTTAATATATTTTTTATTGTTAAAAAAAAAATCGAAATACATATATTAAGACAAAAAACTATTTCGTGGGCTAAATACTACAGAGTAGTACTTTTTAAATTAGGTTTACTTTAAACCCTTACAAGTTTAGAGGCGCACGCAATGCGTGCACGACTATCCCCCCTCTTTATATTTTGTACATAAAGTTATCTTTATAATTTACTTATTTGCATAAATGGCATGTATATTGACATAATTTTATTACTCCGTATTTTTTATAATTAGTAAAGGTAAGAGTCCATTGAAGGGATGATCTATTAAAGAAAACCATGCAAAACAATCCTAGATTTTACTTTTACACGGGCTTAATTTTTTTTATTTTTTTTAAGCATACACAACTTAAATAAATTTCATTGTATTTATGTATCATTTAAATCATACATATACTTGTAAAATAAGTTTCAATATATTTATCTATGTTACTCTTTAAAGTGAACTCCCATTTTTGGTTGGGAATTTTTGTTTTTCGAAAATACCCTTCTTTACAATTACTTATTTACTAACAATACTTTTTATTTTAACAGTTATTGAATTACATTGATAATATAATTAATGAAATTATTAAATAAAAAAAAATTGACGGTTACTTTTTTTTTTTTTTTTGAAAGAACGGTTACTTTTTTCTTAAAAACATACAATTTTCTCACATTATCCCTACAAGATATTAACTACTCTCTACAATTAAGCATTTCTTTAAAACTGATTAATTAAAAAAAAAATTAAAAAACCATTTCTTTACAACGTGACCTCCCCATTACTATCTGTTGGGTATGGCCCAAATTTTATAAGCCCATTATATATCGATGGAGTATAATTTAGAAGCTTCATGAAAAATCAAGAGAAGATTGCACTTGATTTTTCTAGAGTTATCTACAACCTTAATATTCCCTAGAATATTCTAGAGAATAATTAAAAGTGGAAGCCACTAGATTAAGAGGCATAATTATGGGGAAATTTCTATAAGAATCTAGAAACCTCCATCATCATCTATAAATATTGGTCAAGGGCATTCAATCAAAACAACAACAACACAACACAAAAACACAACACAAGAAGTCATACCAAACACAAGCCTTTCTACAAAAATATCCTCCCTCCTTGTAATATTCCTCTACTATCATAATACTCCTTGTGAGTTTCTTATAGTGAGAGTTCTCTTGTAAAAATCACCCTCAAGGGTTCTTGTACTCTCCTACTTTCAAATAGTAGAATAAAAGTGCTCGTTGTTACATAAAATCGTGTGTTCATTTATATTAATTATCTTGCCAAATTATCAATTCAATTTATACTTCTCAATCAAACACATCTTCGCTTCCGTTGTGCACTCACCAACCCTAACACTATCAAATATTAACAAACTTCCTTCAAAAACAAAATATGTGAAAAGCATTAATTGCTCATCCTTTCCTCATCCAAACTCTAATTTTTAATTTCTCATTTAATATTAGATCCTATGTGTCATTTACAAGCAAGATTTACGAGATTACAAAAGTTTTTGCTAGAAAATTACGATTTCGTTACATTAAGACTAATCATTTTCATCTTCTTTTATTTGTAGGATGTCAGATGCATACGCTTCATTCATGTATATAAACCCGTACTCTAAATTTTGAAATATGAAGGCAAAGATAAATAGATTATACGAAATCTAATATATATAAATAAAGTAGGCATTTTTCAAGAGCATTCGGCTCGCCACATAAGCAAAAATATATTTTCGACCAATTAAAAATTAGATTTCTATTTTATTTTGGAATTAAAAAATTCGTTTGCCACCTAAATAAAAGTGACGAATGAGATTTAAGAATTTTGCCACGTGGGTAAAAACAACGAATATTATTAAAAAAAAAACAACGAATATTGATTTATTAGGATTTAATTTATTTAATAAACTAAAAATTATCTTTTCAAATAATCATCTTTAGATATAGGATTTATATACCTACCATTATAAGATAAATTTTGATAGTGTTTATGATAAGAAATAAAAATTATTCCTTAATTATAATTAAATTAAAATTTGTGATATTTACCATTATAAATTGACGCATCATATGACACCAACAAAATTTCGTATCAATACAAAACCAAACCAAACAAATTTTGTGTCAATAATTTTGTGTCAGTTTTATTAGGTCATCAATGGCTGGGTAATTCTTAGCCTCATTTTTAAAACCATGTTTAAATGTATATTTGTGATTATTGCTTAAATTGTGTTTATTTGGGATACTTAATAATTATATGTTGAGGTTTTGTTTACTGAATTTTGTTTTTACATGCAGATCTAATTTAATCAGAGAATTATATTCGAGTAAAAATCTTTGGAATACCAAAGCACGAGTTTCTCGCCTAATGATCCTATTGGATGAGGAGGTATTATATCTTTATAAAATAGTTCAGTTCAGTTCAACTTCAATCAGTTCAGTTCAGTTCAACTCAGTTCAGTAAATCAAAACATGTCCTAAGTCAACTATAATATTACAATAGTAGGGAAAAAAAAGTAAAGATTGTAAGAGATGTCTTTTATAATTTTGATTTTTTATGTATTATAGTTTCTGGTAGAATATCTATATTATTATTGTAAAAATCATTGTAGTAGTGTATACATATAACTCTATTATTAAGGACATATGATAATGAAATTTCATTATAAAGATTTAATTTTATTGAATTAGATTAATTTTAGTAATGCAACACTCTTAATAGTATATATATAAATATATTTCATTTAATTATTTAAAAATTTATAAAGTCATATCTTTTACTATTACTCCCACCGTCTTTATTTTAACCCTGTAGTTTTGGGTTTACTTTATTATTAATTTTTCATTGTATAAAGTTGATACGGAGTAAAAGAATAATGGTGGTCTAAGTTATTGTTTGTGAAAAAAAAATAGTGGCTATAACTATATATGTATTGTGGAACAACGTGTTTTCGTTATACAAACGAATCATAGGTTAAAAAAATGCGAATAGGATTATGATTTTATTCTAATATTTATCATACTTATAATTTTCATATAACTAATATTAAGTAAATTAAGGTCGCATTGTAAGTTGCATAAAAATAAAACAAATTATCCGTTTTCTAACAAGCAAAATAATAATAAAATTATAGGATTAAATTAAGAAAATAATCTTTTCATGACATTTATGTATAAAAAATTGTGCATCGCACGGGATTCTATCTAGTTAATCAATATGTCAAAAATAATAATAAAAAAATAAATTAGAAGATGGATGTTCTTGATGCTATGGTATGTAAACCATTTTTTTTTTTACTTTCTCTCGATTTTTACAGTACATTCTTATTTTATTATTTTATTTTTAAAAATATAAGATATGATTAAGTGGTTAGGTCAGGATATCTATGAAGTTTTACAGTTTATTATCTTTCTTTTGATTCATATCATCAAATAATCTATCAAACCAAGTTTTACAGTACATTTTTTATATTAGTTCTACAATTACATACATACTCATTTCTTTTTATTTTTTTAAAGGATGAATTGAATCCATTCAAGGTATTATATTTACAAATGATTAAGTAAATTTAAAGAGAATAGTCGTGCACGCATTGCGTGTGCCTCTAAACTTGTATCATTTAAATTATACATACTTGTAAAATATGTGAACAATGTAAATATTCGTACTACTAATTAAATTATAGTATGTTGCTTTGCTTTTATACCTATATAAAAGTTGAAAAATCATATGCAAACTTACAAACACTGACTTTTAAAACACCAAGTGTCAAATTTATATCATTAATTAAATATTTGCGAATTAAACTAATATATATACAGTCTAACATAACTACACTTGAAGGAATTATTTGATTTGAGAAAAAATAACCACCATAAGAGAAGTTATCTTTTTAAATTTTTTTAATTATAATAAATTTTTTTAGAAAGGATAAAATAGTCCACTAAAAAATTCCCAATCCAAAAACCCCTTTGTAACTGTGGCGGGTCATGGCTTTTAATAGGGCTCCAAGGCGTCCAACCTCACTCAACGTTCTCCATTGAAGCGCGCTCAAACGTTCTCCATTGAAGCGCAGTTGACGTTTTCCGTTGAATCTAATACTTGTATCCCCCATTGAAGCAGCTTCTGAGGTAAGTTGTTTGGTTATTGTTATCATTATATCAATTTCACAATCTAATTTAATTGTCAGTGCATTAAGGGAAGGGTTCGGAAATCTCAACTATTATATTGTTTCTAAATTCTAAGATAACCAAAAGAAAAGAAAATTATCTGATTATTGAATCCTACAATTATGTATTTTTCGAATCAAATTTGGTTGCTAATGTATTGCACAACTTTTTAATGTTAGGATTGAACTATGATTCAGTTGAGAGGAATTTATGGAGAGGAATTTGAGGCATCGGATGCTGATTCAGTTGGAGAGGATAATGTGGAGAGTGATGCTGAAAGCGAGGATCATACAGAAGGCAGTGAAGAAGAAGAAGAAGAAGAAGAAGAAGAAGAAGAAGCTGATGATGATGATGTTGGTGTATTAAGTGCTGGAAAGAAGGATGATGAAATGGAGGAACTTGAGAAAGAGTATAGGGATCTTCAAAATATGGAGAAGTATGATTTCTTTTCTCGAAAACTCGGGTGCTTAATTAGTTTGTTATTGTATTGAAATTCAAATGTGAATATCTGTGATCGTTGTATGATTATTAGATAACTGTGGTGCTTTTATAATAGTTTTGATATACATGATTCTTCTATGTTTCTTCTTTCTTGTGTGCCACTTTGTGTTTTATGCTTTTTTGGTCCTATGTTTTGAACATTTGGGAAAGGTTGTTTTAGACCGTAGGTAACTGACACACATAGTAAGTTTTGAAGTTTTGTGTCGAATATTCTAAATACGATTTCAATGGCGAAAGAGTCAGTTAGACTTCACCAATTAACCACTTTCAGGGAGGCTTCATCAATTGCAATGGGGTGGTTTGGTGGGTGGGAGGGGTGTGTATGTGGAGGTGTGGTGGTGGGTAGGGGGAGGGCTTATACTTCTCTTGGAATGTTATGCTCTAGTTCCTATCTTTCGAAGAATATGGATTGTTTATTTGCATGTTAGTTTTGTTCACCTTAAAGTTAAGGTTAAAGAGATAATTACCTGCTCAGCTGGTCTTGTCAACTTGTTTTCGCTTGAGCTATGTTGACTTTGATGTGTTCAAATTTTAGCACTTTCTTTTTGTAATCTTTTTTTTTTTTTTTTTTTTTTTTTTTTTTTTTTTTTTTTTTTTGCCTGTTTAGGAGTTTGATTCAAAATTTGAAGCGACACAAGGAAGAAGATCATGTGAAGGGGCAAGCTATCAAGAATCAGAAGGTAGTTACATATGTACATCAGAGCTATTGACCTATGATGTTATAATTTACTTGCTTGTTTCTAATTCTCTATTCCCTTTGTAAACATGATGTTAAATGCTGAAAGCTATGCACATGTCTATATTTCATCACAATTCTTGCCTGATTTGAACTCTGCCTTTTTGTATTTGTTTCCTAGGAATGATTGGTTTGGAGAAGGGGGGGGGGGGGTTCTCCTGGACTAGTTTTCATAATTTCCTGTTCAGTATTCTACCACCCTGATTTATCTTTCAAGTATTGTGACTCATTGTTGAATTGTGAATGTCATAGATATAGATATGATAATTACTACTTCGTATATCTGTTTCAACTTTCTAGTATTGTGACTCAATGTTGAAGTGTTAATATCATTGATATGATAATTTCTTGCTGTTATAATATTCTCTGTGTTCTTGTAGGCTCTTTGGGATAAGGCCCTTGAGCTCAGGTTCTTATTACAGAAACCGTATTCTAAATCAAATAAGCTACCACAGGTAATTGCTTTCATGTAAATTCCTCTTTCTTAGTTGATAATCCAATTTGGAATTCTGTGGTAAATTATTGCTTTGGTTATAGGAACCAATTCGGTCATCATTCTGTGAGGCAGATGAAGATGTCTCTGCTGCATATTCAGATCTCATTGCAGCATCTAGTGAAGCAATAGAATCCCTTGTGCAATTACAGGAGGTAATTTCTTGTAACACCTATTCTTTTTGATACAAAATCTAGCAACGCTCTATGAATCCTTAATAATCGGAATTTGATCACTGAAAGGCGCTTATGTCTTTGATGCAGGCTCTACTTGAAAATAATCCTTCCATTGTTGAAGCCACAGAAGGTATATTTTAGATATTAGGTCTTTGCCCTACTGATATGCATTGATTAAGCTTCTGCTCTGACCAGTAATAATCTTGTTAAACCAAGAAATTAACATGGTTTCAGGAAAACTGTCAGGATATAAAGTACTAGTCGGGCCTTCTACCATTATACCTGCTTATTTTAAGGACATGGGTCATGGGTGGTTTTTTTTTTTTTTTTTTTTTTTTTTGGGTGGGTGGGGGGTTTTACCTTTTGAAAGTCATGTGTAATCTTGTTTATTCTGTTCCTACTTGTTTTGCTTTGCTTGATCCTTCTTCTGTGAAATTCTAGTTTTGAAACTATTTTTGGTTACCAGCTACTGAGCGAGATAGTAGAATTAAGTAGTGGATTAATGTCCTGACTTGTGAACATTCTGATCCCTCACAAACTTAATGGAGATAATATCATATCTTGTGATGAGAATGGTTTCTGATGTTCTTCGTCCATGCTTCAACCAGAGCACTAAACATGACTTGTTCAGGAAATTTTGGTTGTGCTATATGTGCTTTACCTCAGATTGGCCTCTTTTTAGTTTTTAATTGCACTTTCAGAAGCTGGTCCCTTCTTCTTTGATAGGAAATGAGAGGATAGATTCTCTCTGTAGAAGAATCACACTTGATAATTGATTGATATGGTATGTCAAGTTGCATTGTGCTTTTGTTCATAGAACACTCTGTGCAAGGTTTGAATTGATAGTTGGTTGATATCTTTCTCTCTTACTCTGTAGTTGAGTTAGTATGGCCTATGTGGGCGATATTAACCAAAAGAGAAATACTGAGATGTTGCTGACTATCTGTTCTTTACACTATTCTTTACTGCATGCCTAGTTTCATTTCTGGAAGATATACTGTTTATACTTAATTTGGTATGTAAATAGTAGTTCTTTTGTATCTGTTGTTACCTTTTCTTTATCTCCCTAAATTTTCTTAAAATTGTTTTTCAGAAGGATCTCTTAAATCTTCTGAGGAGGTTGAAAATATTGATGGTAACAAAGAGACAGAATGGTTACATATATCTCAAGCGCAGTCAAGGTATCATGCTTTTCTTATCTTGTTAACGCTTGATCAATATATGTTGTATCCATTGCAGTTTATACTTTTTTTTGTCGCTGCAATTAGTGTAAATTGAAGGCATCATGTCCAATTCACTGGCAATAGCATTACTATTGAAGGGTAGTGTTTTGGCCTGGTGGGGGCCTTGTATGGAATGTTTTGTCTGTAGATGATAAAATGCTGAATAATGTGGATTATAATCAATTAAGACTAACTGTTTTTGTTCTAAATTTAATTGTGTTATTCTTTTAAATTTCTTTTTTTTTTTATTATTATTATTTTAATTGTTACAATTGCTTATGCAAGTCCCTATTATTGCCAAAACTATTATGGTCTCACACTCATGAGTCCTTCTGTAAAGCTATTGTATATGTCTGTTATATCGTATCTTTTTACATTTTCCAATGTAATATCTTCCTCCACATGATACCCTAATCCTCAAACTTGTTAAGTTTGGACAACTCACTAAACTTTATTTGTCTTTATATCTCTCAAATAAGTTATTAGGGTTTGACATTATTCTACTAATATTAATTATCATCACATACTCTACAAATCTATGTTACTCCGACACCTTCCTTGGCCATGGGTGTTGTGTGTCGACACGACACGAGCGCGACACCCCTTGACACGGCTTCGGGAAAGTGTCGACTCGGGGATCGAAAAGTGTCTGAAATAGGTGTCGATTTCAGATAATCAAGATTTGTAATTTAAATTTTAGGGTTTAATTCAAAAATCTACCAAAATTTTGTGAATTGCTGAATTGCAAGACACATACAGACCATAAAAGTTTAGGGCTTTTGGTTGCCTGAAAATTCCGATTTCACCGAAGTATTTTCCGGCACATTGAACAGATCGCCGGCGAGTTGTGGTTGCCATTTATGGTGGCTGGTGAAAGAACAAAGAAGTGTTTGCATAAATAAATGACATGCCGCCTTTGAAAATTTGAAAGAGAAGAGAAAGAGGGGATTAAGTTTGAACTTTGAAGCATGCATCTGATTTAATGGAGGAGAGAGAAAATAGAAAGAGAAGACCATGGTGTGAAACAGTGTATTGGAACAAAAGAATACGTAGAAAGAGAAGAAAGGAAACAAAAGAAGACTTAAAAAAAGTGTATTGGAATATGTTTAGATGTTCCCTATGTATTATTATTTCTTTATTTTTTTATTTTCAGTTTTATGACTTTTATCAATTTTTTATTTTTAAGTGTCGGATTAAATTTTTTGGACACTTTATACAGTAGCCGTATCCTAAATATTAGTCAAGGCACTCCCTTGACCGTGTCGAAGTGTCGACCAAAATTTAGGACTAAAGTGTCGGACACTCCGACACCTTGTCGGACACGACACTTAGAGACGAGTCCGAGTAACCATGCTGCAAATGAATTCTTTTCTCTTGTGCTATGGTTTTGTAACAAAATTTTCAAGAGTTAGATTCACCATCTTAGCTAGTTGAGAAGGACTCTTTTGGGCTAGTGGAGTACAGGGAGCAGGGCTTCCCTTAGGTTGATTGGAAGACATTTTAGGGTTATATCTGCATCATGAATGAAGCTTTAAAGTGGGTTTGGACTTTGGAGGTAATCCATTGAACAGCAGGCATGATGGAACAACATCACTATGGGCCTCAGGGCTGGTGAAAAAGGGTTTGGAGAAATTTGTGGAGGCTGTGCTGAAGGTTCATTACACTGTGTATTTCTGGTAATTAGTGCTTAGTGGTGAGATTTTGGGCTATCAAATGATTCTAGAGTGTTTTTTAGTAGAATTCTAGGTAATAACTCAGCCATCCAATTTCAGAATTTTCATTTTTTTTTTTGGGTAAATAACTTTCAGGAAAGTAGTGAGCAGGAATAGTAATTATAAGTATTTGGCTTGGAGGAGTAAGCAATTAATTGCTCCACAAGTCTACTGTTGCACTTTATGGTGATGACATGCCTGTTTGGGCTGGCTTCTTAATTTTTATTTTATTTTTATGCTGTATGCCTGTATGGTGAAAGAGTGGATATGATATGAAGAGACAGGTTGCTAAGGTGGTTTTCCCTACTTGCAGTTCTTGTGGAAATCTGTGAATATACGCCCTCAGAGGCTCGGATTAAACACCATTTTGTCAGAAGTTCATTAATATGTTTGTTGATTGAGTACATAAGAGTTGCATTTATACTTTATTCTCTGTATTGGTTGAATCTGTTGGGATGCTTGTTCTTGTTTACAGTTGTCTGTTTCCATTGTGCTATTTTTATGGCTTTTTAACTATGTAAGCATAATTATGTTATCATTATGGAGATGAGCTGTGGAGACACTTAAATCTTTGCATATTTTATTACAGAGTAGCACCATTCAGAAATAAGTCAGTAGATAAATGGCAGAGAAAAGCGGATGTCCACAGTGGTGCTGCTGCTAAGAAAGTAAAATTGTTGGCTTTTAACCAGGTAAAGTGTGTGATTACACTGAAGCTATCATGTGTTGTGGTTACATCATCTCTGAATTGTATCTCACTCATCTTCTGATTGTAGAATATAAGTGACCAAGTGGCAATGTACATGAGGGATCCAAGTAAAATGATTAAAAGTATGCAACAGAGAAGAGAAGCTGTTAATGTCTTTGGCACTGTGAGTTTTGAATTCGATGCTTTATATCGAGATCCAAAATTGTGTGCTCTATCTATTATGTGAATTTGATGTCGATCCTTACATGGCAGGTTAGTAAGCAGGCTGACAACACCATTGAGGAGGTAGTCTCTTAGTTTCTTACTTCTTTTCATGGTTTTGGCTCTCTAGTCCAGTCTCTTATTACATGAAACTCTTTATGGGTGGGAGGGGGAGGTATATAGGGGTTGAGGCTTTAGCATTTATTGCCAAACTGGACAATAAAACAAACCTGTTCTTGTTCTTATGTTCTAATATCTCGTTAAACATTTTTCTTATTGTCCATATTAGACATGATACTTGTGAACGAGAATTTGTTTTGACATCCTAATTAAGAAACTGTGAGGTGTGAATTTTGCTCATACAACATACAAAAGACACGTACTGATGAATGAATTCAACTTGGCAACTAAAATGTGCTGACCATTCTTTGATGTGTTAATATAACTGGATGCTCATTTAAGTTTAAATAAACACCTCTTCATCCATATACTTGTTCTGCTTTCATTATTGGATACGTAGGATGACCTCTTTTTAATATGTCTTGTTGAAGATGTCGCAGCTAAAATTGTTTGGCAACCAAGGATCATTTTGTCGATTTCATAATTTCCAATCACCTCCTCAGTATTGACTGAATCTCTGTACTGGGTTCATAGTCGCTTCACACTCTTTTATCAATTAGCTGCCTTCAATGTCACAGACCTTCTAGCATCAATGTTTTCCCAAAGTTCGATTAGCATACATGTTTAGTGGTCTGACATGTATCCTATCATGCATATCAGGCCTTTTAATGTAGGATGACTGTATCTAAGCTCCTATATTTTCCTATGTTTAGTGGTAGCGTGATTTTTTTTTTTTTCTTTCAATTAGGGAATCATTGAGGGAGACCCTGAGCTTCTGGACGACTCCGAATTTTACCAACAATTGCTGAAGGAGTTCTTTGAGACAATTGACCCATCATCCTCCGGTAAGCTCCGATATCTTGGTTTCCTATAGCTTAACTTTGCATGAGTCCTCAAGTTAATATTACTCGTAGTAGTAAGTCTTTAACCTAGAACTGATTTTTGCTGATATTTGCGTTGCTTGACTTTGCAAATTCTCGGACTTGCACCAAAAGTAGAACACTATATAGAAGTTATGTGTAATTTGGGCCTTTTGAGTTCAATTTAATTCAACATTTATTTGTCAATGGGAACAATATTTTTGGATTTAATTGACAGATCCCATGTTGATTATCTGCATTGATGTCTTCACTGTCTGCCTCTAAATGTGAATTGACTGAATTCTAATAGCATCAACAAAATGATCTTATATACTTTGTATATAATTAGCATCTAAACAACAAATCTCATGATAAACTCTGCAGAGTCAGCATTTTATGCTTTGAAAAGGCTACAAACCAAGAAAAGGAAAGTGGTAGACCGCCGAGCTTCCAAGAGCCGTAAAATCAGGTCTGTTTTTCATGCAGCCTCCCTTTTTTCTGTTTCAAAATGATCCCCAGAAAATTTAAATCTTCTTGTTTACTTTGTTGCAGGTATCATGTCCATGAAAAAATCGCCAATTTCATGGCCCCTGAACCAACAAATCTCTCCCCTATGGCTCCTAAGTTATTCGAGAATCTGTTCGGGTTAAAAACCCACAAACCTACGTCTGCTGCGTAGAATATTTATGTTCTCTTTACACAGGATATCCCCCCATATTTTCAGCCTTTATCCTTAAATTAGTGAATTAACAATTTAATTTAGCAATGGGAAAGTTTATTTATAAGCTAAACTTGCTTGTGCTTTTGAAATATTGTTTTGATTGGCTCGCTGAAGTCCTGGACTTCAGAATCTAGGTGTTTTGGAACAGCCATATCCTTAATAGTCCTAATCATAACTTTAAATGATAGTAATTACTGCTTTTTCCGAACTACACTATTTTTTTTAAAAAAAATTCAATTTGGTACAATTAAAGTGTGTTCAAATTAGGGTTTCAACGCTTCTTACATGTGAATGTTTTCATAATTAAAAGACAACTGAAAAGGTAAATTACAATTTTTGTAAGGATGGACATCATATGATTCATATTGAAGTAAATCCTTATTTAATAGAGATGAGTATATATCTTTGATTCTAATATTGTGTAAAATTTAAGAAATGTGGAATGAGTGTGAGAAACCTAAAATTGAAATTTGTCTATTTACAAGTTCAAATAACATTACATCTCAAGATCAACTGATAATGAAAGTTTTCTTAATATAGTGGTTAAATTATCTCATATTCATCAATTCATGTTTGAAAGGTTTGTGTTAAGGCTCGTGTATACGTAAACAAATGATGTAAATGAGAATGTAAATAAAAACTCGATACTATCCTCATAAAATGAGGTAATTTTTAAATGAGTGATCTACTTCAAAAATAAAAAAAAATAAAAAAAAAAACCCAATTGTTATTTATCAAGCGGCAAAATGGTAAAAATAAATAAAAGCGACTTTATCCCTAGGCCTTGTTTGGTTGACATTATAAAAAAGGGGGAATTAGAAATTTATAGGAATTGATAAAATGGGTAGTTGTTTGGTTGATATAAAAAAGCAAAAATGGGGAAAGTGGGAATTCATAGGAATTTCAATTTCCTACAAAACATGGGAAGTAAATTCCCAAGCCCCTCCTAGATAAACCAAAATTCATGGGAATTTCAATATCCCTTATTGCCAACCAAGCACATTTAAGAAATTCTTAGGAATTTTATTAAGGAATTAACTTCCCATAAAGTATAAATTTCTATGGGAATTAAATTTTCACATCAACCAAACAACACCTAAAAACACTATTGGTGTAAGCGATTTTTTTTTTTTTTTTTTTTTAAATCTTAAAATTTTATTCTTTTGCTTGTATTTTCGTATCTTTAGACTGAGGGAATTTAACAAAGCAAATTAAAAAGATTAATGTATTACGAAGTATTTTTTAATTTCTAATTTCTAATTTTTTTATTTTATTTTGAGACCGAAAATTACTCCTTCCGTGTTTTAATAAGTGTTACACTTGCCAAATGCGTCCGTGTTTAAATAAGTGTTACACTTTTTTTTTTGACAAAAAAACTATATTTTAATATTATATCTCTATCCTCTCAATTAAATTGCCTAAAACTATGTGTCGATTAAAGTGTAACACTTATTAAAACACGGAGGGAGTACTATACTTTGCATATGACAATAAATCCAAACCATTGATTTTTTTTTAGATCTTACGGTTGACAAATATTTCGTGTCATTATTCTTCGTTTTCATTTTTTCTCTTTGGAGCTTTACACTTCTACGCTGCACTTCTTTTTTCTCTCTCCTCCATTGAAGTGTACTCTCAGTTCTCCATTGAACCGTACTCTGAACTTCTCTCCTCCATTGAAGCAGCTTCTGAGGTGAGGTGTTTATCTTTCATTATAATCATCGAACGTCAATTTCAGAATCTAGGGTTTCATTTCACACTATCGTTGATTTAATTTTTTAGTGTATAATCAATTTAGGGTTCTTCTAAGGTAGAATATTGAACTACAGTTACTTTATTTATGAAAGCTTGTAATGAGCAATTTAATTGCTTGAATTTTGCTATTTGCAATTTACGTTGATTAAGTGACGATTTTTATGTGTTTTTTCGTGTCTAATCTTATGATTGCGTCAATTTGGTTGCAAATGTGTTGCATTTTTCGTGCCTAATCGAGCTCACGAGCCAAGTCGGAAAATTTCGAGGCCATTTGAGCTCGAGCCGAGCCTGCCTAAATCTGATCGACCTTGAGCCGAGCATATTCCTATTCGAATTAAGGCTTTGAGATTGTTGTGGTTGAATTTTTTGGAAGTTGTTGATGGAATGTGATGTCATCCTCTCCTTTAAAAAAAACTAAGGTTTCGAATTCGAGTTTGACATGAGGAAAAAGTGATTGTTTTTAAGCTTATGATCACCATTTAGCCACAGCCTTGTTTTAAGGAGCATATCTTAGCTCGCTTCTCTGGTTCAGGAGTTCGCATTCGCTTTCCCCCCAAAAAAGTATGAAAGTGCTTGAGGTTTATTCTTGCCAAGCTCCTTGTTAGGTTGAGCATAAGCAGCTTTAGAAATATGGTGTTGACTAACTTCTATTGAGCCCTAAAGTTTTCCATGTAACTTACCTCTTATGAAACTAAAGAATTTGATTAATAAGAGAGTGAGGTATGGAAGTTGAGCTTATGTAGTTCATATTTTATAAGTTACTTTTTATTTCTTTTACCTTAGTTTTTATTGGGTTATAGCGGGCTAAATTTTTATTTCCAAAAGCATTTTCTTAGGAGAGTTAAGATGAAATAATCATGGAAACCAGTTTTATAAAATTCATATTCGTAAAAATCCAACTTTAGTAGACTACTCTCTGCTACTTATGTAGGGAAGATACACTCATTGTACCAACATGTGTTTCTAACTTATATAAAAAACAGTGAAGTCTGTAATTTGTAACTTGTTACATGTTTGTACTCTGTCGTCTTAAAGCAGCTACCTTGTCAGAAATCTAAGAGTTAGAGAAGAATTTGAGTGTTATATTTGTGTCATATAGGAAATGATACTTTTTAACGAATGATTAAGGGGAGAGTAGCTTTTATCTATGAGGAAGAAAAAGGATTATTCTGTGATAGTCATAGTTGATCTTTAAGGATTATTCTGTGATAATCATAGTTCTCCGGGCTTTCGAGTTGTCTCCTTACGTTATTAGTTCTTTCTATGGATATAATGATGTAGTTGTGTTCCTTTTGTACATTGGATGATTAAATTTTAGGACTTGGCACCAATATTGTCATTTATATTGTGTATGCTAGTGGTCAGTCCATTGTGTTGTGGTCGACTTTATATTTTACTAGGATTAAGACACTGTATTTTCTGTTGCGTTTTTCTTCTTGCTAAATTTGTGTGGACAGTCTTGTGATCTTAGTAAACCTCATTTGAGTTGATGTACATAATGGTTGGTTTTTTTAGTCCTTTAAACTAAGAATTCTTGCTTGGTTTAGAAATAATTGGTGTACAGGACTGCAATAAGTTAGAATTTATAGAATTATCCTTGTAATGTGATTTTGGACATATTGTTAAATTCTTATTAGGATATTTTCATCACTTCTGATGGTAGTTGTTTGTGAAATAATTTGATTATGGCCATTAATATTTTGCCTGAAAAACTTGTGATGGCCAGTACCACTGTACCAGTAGTCACTGTCCCTGTCCCCTACTAATCATTTACTGTTATTGATGTGATGTATGTCACTGTCCCCTACTAATCATTTACTGTTACCTATCTCAATGATCAACATTTTGTAAAACACTTGTAATATACATATGTGATGGTAATCCTTTCTTATTTTTTGTGAGGTAGATCATCAGAAGTGATGGCAAGCAAGGCTGTGAAAACTGTGGCAAAAGCAGCTACTGAATAACAATATCCTTGGCAGGAGAAGCTAGTAAAGTATAGAGACGAGCTTGCCAAAGGAGTTTGGGGTTACTGGGAACTCGGGGCATGGAAGCCTTTGGGAATTAGTGCTCGTCGCCGTGCTAGGATCCGCAAAGAAGTCTTACTTGCCGAACAAGACTGGCCTTATGACCCTGCGAGGAAAGAGATAAGGACTAAGAGGAAAGGACACAAGGTTGACAGAATAGCAGCAGAGAAACGAGCAAATACTGCAGAATTGATGAAGAAGATGCCACAAATGTTACTGGACTACAAGAAGCGTAGATGGGAGAAAAAGATGAAGGATGAGGAATCCAGGAAGTAAGTTTTGATCCTGAAGTATTAACTTCTTTCATCTTAAGATTTCTCACTTTCCTTTAGCAAGCGAAGTACCTTGTCTTTGTTTGGATTCAGGCATGGTTAGTGACTGCAACCGTGTTTCTCCCCATAAAGATTTTGAAATAGAGCAATATGTTCTCTTGATAATCGTATTGCTTCATTTTTGGTACATCAGCTTTATAAGCCACTCACCCACTCCTTTTTTTTCAAAACAGAGTGTTTTTGTTAGAACAACATTATATGGTTCTCACATTGCTTTCCCAAAACATGCTAAACCATGTGAAAAAGCTTGAGTCGCACATTCCTTGTATGTACAGTTCAATTCATATTTATTTAATTTCATACACGCCTATCAGCTAACGTTTTAGTGTTAACAGGTAGGGTTACTAGGGTATGTTCGTCAATAGTTTTGAACTAGCATTTCTAGCAATTTAGACCCAAACCACACGGAGTGTTATAGCTGATGTATTTGGCTAGGCAAAAGTTCAGCATAACATGAAATAAGTAGAGCATTCATAAAAAGTTATGTAATACCGAGTATTCAAGTAATATGCTACCATATTTGTCAAACGTGCACGTTGCCAAAAAGAATATTGTAAACTTAGAACTTCGCCTACTGTATCCGTTTGCATTAGAAATTTGCACAAAAGATAGATGCATATTTAGCCCAATTAATAAAGAAAAAATGCTGGGTTCTTGGCTTATGGCAATAAAACTTTCCAAAGAATATTTCCAAGACATAACAGCGTTAATAAACTAAAATCTGCTCACGGATTTACACATAGAAACTTTCTTAGTCAAAACTGAGAGTATGTTATACAATACTGTATCCAAAAGAATGGGTCTCCACACACCACTACACCAGGTCTAATACAAGATAAATGTTCATGTAACAATCAAAATGTCAACTATGCTAGTCTGAGGAGTCTCCTGGCGTTTATCATCGAAAGTAAAGACCTAACTCAAAAGTACAGATCTAAACCAGGGAAATGTCAACGATAGAAGTTTATGCATGGCTTGAATGTGATCCGGTTTGTTTGCTCTTCAAAGTAAAAGTTGTAGGTCATATTTAAACCAATAGATACATTGACAAGAAGCGCAAGAGTACGCATGCGGCAAACTTTATCTCTTTCACTGTGGCAATCTGCAGATGGGAAATAAAAGTTTCTCAATGATTAAGATACGCAACCATGACTGCTAGACTTGTGCATGACAAAATAGCATAGTCATGCAAAGAAATTATCAAATACAGGTTACGGGTGTAAATTCAGTTACATTATTTTATAAAAATTTATAATCATAGTGCAATTTAAATGATCTACATCAGTTAAGTAAGAGCTTTTTAGGAATTCTAATCATCAACCACTACTGTTTTATAGAAGGTGAACTTTTTCCAGACATTCATAATAATATGAACCTATAAAATTTGGAAAACGAGAATATAAAATTAACTCCAGAAGAATCACTCGATAAACACTGGATTAGTTATTTCATATACACATTATTGGGAAACATTAGTGAACTACTTTAGTCATGTAACTTTTACAAAAGGCAAGCACACCTTAAAGCATAAAGTAGCGGCAGATGATAAAAGAGTGATGAGGATGAACATTTACACTGACTGCTCAGCACCAGCTTGTTGTGTCAACTGAGAATATATGTATTCATCAACTCTCTGTTTCGCCAAGGCTACCTGAAGAGGGATACAACAACAGCAACAAAGCCTTAGTCCCAAAAATGATTTGGGGTTGAAGAGGGATATAACAATTAAAATGCAAGCCACCAGGGAAAATGTACAATCTTAAGGAAAATAATTTAGAGCAGGAAATCCAAGTTCATCCTCTAGTTCATAAATATGTAATATTACCCCCAGCACCTATTGCTTGATAAACTGATAGTGTATTATGTGGTACGTCCTTCGATAATTATAAACAATAATGCAAGTATAATATCAGCAGTCCACTTCCCCCAATTCCAGATTAAGAGGGGTAATGGTGAGTCTCTAAAGCTGTCCATCTAGAAAGGATTTTAAAAAGCCCAAGGAATGAGAATTGAAGAAGCGAAAGAACGAAATTACCTGCTGAGCTGAGCCAATAAGCTGGAGCTGCCTATGTTTCTGCTCACCTTTTCCCCCAAATACCTGACAGTGAAAACAGAACGAGCATCATGTCAGAAAAGTAAATGAGATGACATGGTGGTGGATCTGCCTATGTTTCTGCTCACCTTTTCCCCCAAGGCATCATGCATAGAAAAAGTTCAATACAAATGCACATTTTAAGTACCCAGAAGAATAATGCCATGACGTGGTGGATAATATAATGAGAAAGAATTCAAGAAGGAAGTTATCATAAGAAAATGAACAGAAAATACAGGCATTTCAGATACATTGAGGTAAATTTTCTTGTAGTAGAACATCCTTGACATGTACTCGTAATAGACCAATACAAATCTCAGTTCTTACAAAGTGTTTCTTTCTCCATTCCTTAGTAAGTGTGAGGTGTCTATTATGGTTATGCATAGTTATTGAAGTGTAATATATATAGCATTAATTTTAAAACGAACAACTTACAATCAGAGGTAAGTTAAACTGATGAACAACAGTATACCATGTTACAGAATAAAGTGTGAAAGTCATGCTAATACAGAGTGCCTTGATGAGCATAATCGCGGTGGGGGTTCATTGCTTCAGCTGTTTGGCCTTAAAGCTTTGTGCTAGGTGGTCTTTAGACTAGTATATTTCACCCTTATATATACTAAGACTGTAAGACATAAGTGATTTTTCACATGTTACAGAAAAAAGGGATATGAAATGACACTGAGCATATCATTCAAAAATAAATTTGCATAAGTAATTTTGTATAGATGTTATCATTAGTTAATTATAAAAAATATTACTGTCTACCATTACAAATAGTGCATAGTATAGAATCACAACATTGATCACTAGGGAGCGCACCTTAATCATTGCACCAGATTCAGTTCTAATCCTTGATATGTTGGAACCAGCTCTGCCAATCAAGCCACCCACCATTGTTTCCGAGATCACCATATCCAATGTCACATATTCAGCTGCAAAATGTACCCCTCGGGATGATTTTATTGTAGGAAAAACATAAGAATTAAAATGAGACCAAAACGACTGTGAAGTAAATGCTTATGAAAGCAGATTTACCAGCATTTGGGTCCATATAATTCTGAGCTGCTCGAGCAATGCTCAAGTTGTATGTTGGGCTGATTGAAATTACTTGCTTGGGTGGGTTTTGCCTGATAATAGAAAAAATATGAAGCAGAGAAGACTGCAGATAATGGAACACAAGCTAGTGAGTCCAGAAGTATATTTACCTAAGTTCAACACCAATCTCCTCCACGGCTTTCATTACAGCAGAAACTTCACCTGATATCTGATACCGTCATTGACAATGATCATTTCTCGGGATAAAGAGCAAGCACAGAGCACGAGATGGAGTTCTCAAGAACCCCAGTTCCCCACCCAACCACAAAAGCACATTTTTCACATCTAGATGGTGAAAGCATCTCATCATGATGAGATGCCAATAATAATATCAACATGAATGAAGATAAATAAGCAAGTTCAGATAATGTACATTAGGGTTAAAACTTTAGCTATTTTGTTTCACTTCATTGGTCTACGTATTATTGTTATCTTGCTCATTTTGGTCCAAACAAGTACATACTTTGTACCTTCACACCACAGATCATAATAATTCAAAATTATCTTTTTCTTCCCTCGTTGGACTACAAGCCTACAAGTAAGCAGCATCATAGATGATTCAGATTTCACACAATCAGGAAGAGAGCATAAAAAGATTAATTTGATCAATTATGTGCACATACTGTTGTTTCTCTAGCAGTCTAGTTACACTTTACATGTGGTAATACTAGACTTCCATTAATCTCTCTGCTTTTGGTACTATTTTTCTATCACCAATTGCTCACAATTGGTTAGGTATGGCTCTTTATGTCTAGATCTCCTCAAACCATATGTAGTTGAATCCGTTTATGGTGGTGACATATAATAAGGAACTCTGAAATTAAAAGAAGTGTGTATTTGTTATTTTCATGCAGGTGAATGTATAGACCTTTTTCCGATGTTCACACATTTGAGTCTAAAACCTTCATAGCTAAGTTATTGCTAATGCTTTAATCCACAGTTTTTTATAGGCTTATAAGCAATATGTTTTCCTTTTACAATCCATAAATAACAACAAAGGGGTAGCAAGATTGCCCCCAACCTTTTGACCAATTATTGAGCTCATAAGTCTCAGCATATCAAAGTCCGTTCATTTGCTTCCCCGTCAATGATGTAAACAGTAAATCTAGAGGAATAATAGGGGTAGAAAAAAAAGTTGGCAATAAACATAAGAGAAATCTGATCCATACTCAAAGCCAGACTGATGCAAATGAGAACAGTCAAGGAAAGCCTCCCAGATAACCTGTATTTCCTTTTTCCTCTTTCCTGGTGCAAACCTACCAATCATTAATTTACAAACTTGTCAGTGCCACACAAAGGGCAGGCGAGTGGAAGTGTGCAAAAGGTAACTGCATTAAAGATTGGGAAGGAGAGGACGGGAAGGAGGGAAAGGGAGGGGCTGGAGGGAGGGAGTAGGGAAAGGGAAAGGGAAAAGGAAAGGGAAGGGAAGGAAGACGGGGCAGGGAAATGAAGGAAAGAACGCAGGGAGGGAGAGGGAGGGGACTTAGCTGGATTGAAAGGATTGACAACAAAATTATCAAACTTCTTGAGAGGATCGGATGTCCCCTAGTAGAGTTACCAGGAAATTACACTTAAACTACTGTCTTCTATCTTCCAGTACTAGTTAGTCAGAAATCAATTAGAGACATCTATGATGTCAACATACGTTTTAGTTCTCATTGCACAAACTCCAAACTCAACTAACAACAACAAAGTTACTTAACTTATATAAGTAGAATAAGCTACCTGACTTAGATCCTATATGTGGTCATACACTAATAGCATGTTCTACATTGAAACAAAACACAACTGGCATATAATATCCTACAGACTCAAAAACACCCAAAAAGAAAGGATAATGTTACATCTACAAGGGATCTGAGATCCCAAACAAACCCACAATAATAATACATTTTCTTACTGGTTGCTTACAGTTATAATGAGTAATTTCCATGTGGATTGCATGTATTTTCCATGTCCCTGGGAGACGTTTGAGTAATTTCCATGTGGATTGCATCTATGGTATCTACTAATTTTAAGATTTCTTTATAGCCCTTTTACCCCATTAAAAAAGAAAGGAATCTGGGAATTTGCCCTTCTAATCATAAGAAAATATCTCATATCAGGATAAGAGACAACTCGATAAGACACCAGAGCAAGGATCATATGTCCAAGTAAAGATTAAAGTATGCAATGGTAGGCTTATAAACGTTCATCTTACCTGGACCAAGCGATCAGATTCATGAGCAGATGTACACAGAGGCAATTGATTTGGCGCCAGAACAGCAATTATGGCACCAGAAGAGTTTCTAAGCTTTTCAATGTTCTGACCTGACACTCCTATTAAGCCACCAGCTTGTGAACCAGCTATTAATAGCTTTACTGAATTCGTAGTTGCATGTCCTCCGCTGATGCCAGCAGCAGCAGCAGCATAAGGATCAGTTGCAGCAGCAATGCTTAGTGCAGGTGCACTGCTTCCATCATCCTGTTGCTCAATTTGATACACAAGGCCAATTTATTATAACATGAAAAAATGCATGTTCCATCAAAGACCATGTAATACTTCCAGTAATCCAAAGGATGGAAAAACAAATCCCAACCGTATCTATATTAGCAGAAAAGCATATTTATTTCTTTATTATTGGATTTCTAGTTTATCTGGCTCTGCAAGATCCCTTTCATTCATCAAATGCAATAATTTATCACTCAAAACATGTAAAATAATTTATAAAGGTGAACATGAAATGTTTACATAAGTCAACAACCAGAGAAGAAGTGGAATGAATATCAAAATCAATCCAAAAAAAGAAAGATCTGCTTTCAGATACACCAAATCACCAATTGAAAGACTAGTTTTTAATATATGATATCCTTAAATATAAATATTTTAAACCATAAGAACATAGGGAATCATTATAATCACAAAAGTCTGTACATGATTGGTTTTCTAAACACATTCTACTTAACACTCAATAATATAAAACAAAAAGTTATATTATTGACTAAATAACATAACAGAGTTATGAAAAAACAAGATAAGGGAAAGCAGGATTAAATACCGCAAGGACGAGAGAAGCAATCTGAAGCAAAGCCTTCTCCGCATCACTGATACCACCAGCTTCATTCTCTCTAGAACTAACAATTATAACACGTTCCCGTATCGCTAACACAAAAAGGTCAACAAGTTAACATGCTGTCATTCACTCATTTACAAATCAGCTTTGATACAAGAATTCTCCATATTATACCCAAAAGTCAGCAAAAAAAAAAACTTAAACTGGAACGTACATTTAACAAGCAACCACGAATCTCAATATCACTTAATATGGCAATAAGCAACACAGCTTTTAGGAAACAGAGACCTAGAACAGAAAATTGAGGTTGATTACGGTATGAATGCATATATTATGGCCAATATACAGGAGTAGGACAGAGATAACCCAAACACTACAATACCAGATTAAAGTGACTGCAATTCTTTGTCTATAAAATCAGCTACTTCTTTAAACTTGACAACGATACAACATACCCAACCCATTTGACCTCGGCCAACTATACAGAGATAATTTAACTAGGAAGCAGCTTCTCCAAAGATGAATAAGATACACTAGGTTAAAATTGTGATTTTATCTGAGATTGCACTAGCAGATGTTTGGTAGCAATCTGTAGCAAAGAAATTTAAGTACCCGCTCTCCAAAAACACGTTTTATCCAAAAGTTATTCGCTGGATTAGTAAAAAAACAGAGCCACAGCTTTCAAGCATCAAGTTCAGGAAAAATAAAGATAACAACATTGAACTAAAAGTTCTAAACAGTACTCCTTATTTAGAGCACCTTCCATTGTCTTTCTACCAAAAAACTTCACTTCTATGAACCCAAATTTTTAGCTTAAATCAAACTACTAATATTTTCATCTCAGTAGAAATTTTAAAAGACTGCAAGCTTACAATTATAGACCTTAGACCACATATAATTGCTATCATACAATCAGCTCAACCCAACAAAAACAAATATTAGTAAATAAAATTAGGGGAAAAAATTAATTTAAAAAATACAAGCTTTTTCTTTTTTGTAGACTCTTCTATTCGATCAGTGACATCGAAATGTAGGAACATGAAAGCCCTCCAACGTATTTGCCCTACTTGAAAGTTTCTAGTCCAGATAGCAATTTGATGGCTCAAAATCACTATCCCTGAGTATCCTTTCATCTGAAAAAAGCAACCAAGAGCTAATCTTCATGCAGCAGTTCTCAATTGCATTTTGTTTTATTGTATGAGTCATAATCTACACTAAATCTCACAGCCTTGCAGTCCACCAAATCAGTTACACATAGAAAGGTCTCTGTATGATTTTATCTCCTATTGTAACATCATGCCAGAATCAAGAAGAGATGCTTCTTATAGAAGATAGGCAGTTTAAACATCATAATAACCCATTTTGATGCCAAGGAATAACAACAAAAGGCTGTCATTTACCGACAACTGCATACTAGACTCATCTTCCTAACAGCATCAACACACAGTCTTTAGCACAAATTAAACTAGCAATATACATTCCTCAAACTTTCAGCTCATTGGTTCAGATACCAATTCAGTATTTTTTTTACCTAAGAATTACTCGAGTCTTCACCGAATTAAGTTATTCATATGTGATAACTCCAACGACACTGCATCAATTCCAATCAACATACAGATCATACATCCTCTCTTGTCAAGTTAATCACACAAATTCTAATTAACATCATCATAACCTATGGAGTTGAGAACTTCCAACCTCAGTAACTTCAACAGCTTCAACTATCTCATACTCCAAACATAAAAAAATGAACCCCAAAATCAATTAAAACAACAAGTCCCCAAATTTCAAAAACCCCAATACCCCATTATTCCCAAAACACTAATTTCTTAATCTATATAATCAAATTCCCAAAGAAAAACAACATGATAGAATATAATCCAAACAAAAAGCAATAACAAAACAGAAGAAAAAAAAAACCAATTAAAATTGAGCAAAACTCACAGCAATAGGATCAGCAATTTTGATAGTAGCCTTAGTATCATCCCTAATCTTCTGAACCCTATGACCACCTTTCCCAATAACCTTCCCAATTTGACCAGAAGGAACAATAACCCTAAACAAAATATCATTCCCCAAAGCTTGGCGTTTCGTGGAAGGAACCTCAGCCGAATCCGAAACGGGTTCTCGGGGACGTTTCGAAGACGGGCGATCAGAGTAATGGGGTTGAGGGTAAGAGGGGTATTGAATTGGGGGTAAAGGCATGTGTTGAAGCTGAGGAACAGAGCCATAATCGGAGTATTGATGAGAAGGGTGGTGGTGAGGGTGGTATTGGTGGTGGTAAGGGATGTTTAAGGGTTGGTAGTGGTGGTGGGGGGGTGCGGTGGTTGAAGCGGTGGATGTGGTGGTGGGATGTATTGATGGTGTTGTGTGCATGGTTGGAGGCTGGGGATTGATGGGTACTGTCCTTGTTGCGCCATTGTTGAGATTTTTTCGTAGCAAGGAGATGAAGCAAGAAAGGGTATTTTTATACGGAGTGTTGGTTAATGAAGGGGGGAGACCAAGGTGCTAAGGCGAGTCGGGTTCGGTTACGTGGGATTGGGTGTGGTTTTGTTAAAGTTAAGTAAGTCATTTATTTTTTTTTATTTTTTTTTTTATGTTTCACCTTATTCACCTTTTGAGCTAATTTAAATTTAAGGATTAGTTTTGGATGGTTAAGCTCCACACCTCTTCTAATTGTTGTTGCTGAATCGAACACACGGTCTTCACTATCGAGTGCAATCCTAATCACCACTGCACCAACAACTAATTGGTTGTTTAGTAAGTCATTATGCCAATACAAGTTTGTAGTTTGAATTAAGTTACTTTCGGATTAATTCGAATCGGGTCAAGCTAAACATTTTGACACCTCTTATTCTCATCACAAACCTTCAATACTCTCCTTAGTCTCCTATCTCTTTTTATTGATATTGTAATTTTCCTTCTTAATCTGATACTTTCCTCCGCCTCTAAATATTTACCCATATACCAAAAATGAATGTCCCTATAATATTGCACCTTTGTTATTATTTATCACGAAAACCTCACTTTTACTGTCACATACGAGTAATACTTTTATCCTATTGCTTTTGATAACTTGACATGTAGGCTTTGCAGAAACAAGAAGCTATGAGGAGCGAAAACATTTATGACATAAGAGAGTGCTTGAGACTGAATAGTGATATTGTTGGCAAATTTAAGTAGTGTATATCTTTAGAGAAGGTAATCGAGCGGCGGATTGATTGGCCAATCGTAGAGTCATTCAGGACTCTCAGCTAGAAATCTTTAGTGATACTAGGGGCGTTGCTATGTCACGCCTTGTCCCTCCGTAGATAGCGTGTTTTTTTTTTTTTTTTTTTTTTTTTTTTGTTGCTCTTTTTGCTTTTTGGTTGTTTTCTTTATCTCTATTTGATGCTCGTATCATCATTTGAATAAAAAAAATAAAAACTTTTGTCTCTTATCAATTCTACTCAACCAAAAGTTTAAAAAGTAAAAAATGCATAAATGGCAATATGTTATTAATACTATACGAAAAGCAAGTATTAAAAATCAAATATTATATATTTATTTACAAAACAAATAAAACATAACACGTATCTTTATAATTGATTCAATATGTAAATTATTATGACCTAGCCCAACAAATCACGTTGTGTCCTTAAGACAATTTTGCTCCCTCTATGATACCTAAGATTATTAAGCAATTGTCTCCCTAGATAGAATGAGTTTCGTTTCTTATAAAATGGTATTGTAATTATAAGGAATCAACGAACAAACTAGATTAGAGTAACCGCAACTATATGCATGTATATTTAGAGAGAGTAATTAAAACTAATTATAAATCCCTAAAATCAAAACAACCAACACCTATCTATAGAAAAAAAAAACATGGATGAAAAGTTGCAAGTAATGAAATGACACAACTATCCATTATAACTAATGAAGAGTTAATGAAATAACACAACTATTCACATCAAAAATTACCAATGAAAAGTTACAATTATCTAAATATACAATCCAAACAGTCATACAAATTGTCATACAATGCAACTCTACATTAAATACGTGATTCTTCATTAATACAAAAAATATTTACAAAATAAATATCCAACACAACAAACATCAAGGGACGAAATATATATACTCCATTGTAAGATTGGATCTTAACTAAAAAAACAGATCAAGTAAGAACCAAATTCTAAATAAACCAATTGTTGCCAAAATTAGGAGAATAGAGTCAATAGGCACTAGAGGTTAGAGAGTTAGTCCAATTGTTAAAGGGAGCCCTAACAAATCTCTCTCAATGTGTCCTTCACAATGCGCCTGTTCTTCCCCTTCACCCCCTTCTCAAATCCTCTCTTTCAAACCTTACTTCGCCATTTCAGCTCCAACACAAATCTCCCAACTCTTGGCAAAGTCCCCACTAAATATCGACCTCAAGCAATCAAAGAAGCTCAAGAAGTTATCACGGATTATCTTCATACTACCAGTGCATTACCCTTTTCATATGCCGAGTTCATCAGCAAAAACTCCGTTCATTCTCTTGCTGAATTGATGTCAAAGGTAGATTTTTCAGCCATTTATTTCCGCAAGAATTTTCAGAGGTTTCTTAGGTATAATCCTCTTCATGAATTTGGGTTCTTTTATGAAAGTATTGGAATTCATTATTGTAATATTAATGATTTTTTGAAGCCAAATGTGCATTTTTTCTCTGATGATTCAACTGTTTTAAATGTTGCTTGTACACTTGCTGGAATTGGGTTTCCTTGGAATAAGTTGGGGAGGTTGTATGTTGAAGAAATTTCGATTTTTGAGAATAATCCCAAGTTTTTGGGGTCAAAGTTTAATGGGTTGTTAGCAATGGGGTTTAGTGCTGAACAAGCTGTTGGTATTTGTTTAGGGTTTCCCTTTCTATTGAAGGGGGAAGAGGTTGGATTGAAGGGTGAATTTGATGAATTATTGGATGAATTGAAAAGGGTATTGATTGATTATGATTTGGGGGATGGATTAGTTGGAAATGTGGATCTTTGGTATGAGGTTTGTAGGAAACTTAGGTTTTTCTATGACTTGGGTGTCCCGAAAAGGGCAGTTGGAGAGTCGATTGGTAAGAGTTCTGTTGTTTTCACTGATTATTCAGAGAAGGTTTTGGCTGAGAAGGTGGAGTTCTTTTGTAAGTTGAGTGTTGGGAAAGCAGATGTTGGTTTGTTGCTTCTTTCCCATCCTGAGATACTGAGCATTGATATCGAAAATCGTGTAGTTTCTGTATCCGGATTTTTGAATCGTTTTGGCTTATCGAAGAACGAACTTAAACTCCTTATGGAGAAATACTCTTATGTATTTGGTCGGAATAAGATGTCTAATTTGCCCCATATTCTTAGAGCCATGGATCTTCATGAATGGTTCTTCCATAATATGAAGTTGGGGAAGTATCCGTTATTGGGTGATTATGATTTGAGTAGTCCAGATGAAGGTGAAGACGCGAATTATGTACAGGAGATGGAGAACATCAAATGCTTAAGAAATTATAGTTATTTACTATGTAAGTTGAAATTTTTTCATGGCATTGGATTTGGAGAGCATGGTTTCACCATGAAGCTCTTAAAAGATGTACATGGTTCTGGTAGTGACTTACATGAGCGATTCGATCTCCTACTAAATGAAGGCATTGAGTTCTCCAAACTGTGCAAGATGATAAGTTATACACCTAAGATTCTAAATCAGGAGACTGACTCTCTTAAACGGAAAATTGACTTCCTTCGCCAGGAAGTCGGTTTATCCTTGGAGTTCCTGGAGACTTTTCCAGCCTATTTGATTTATAATTTAGAAAAGCGAATTAAGCCCAGATATAGATTTCATGTCTGGCTAGCTAAGCAGGGCTGGATGAAAAAAAAGTACACTTTGTCAGGCATTATAGCTACAAGTAAGAAAGGATTCTTGGAACAACTTTCCTGTATACATCCAACAGCACCTCAATTATGGATGGAGCAATGCGAGCAAACGAAGACAAGTGAATCGAAGAAAGTATCATAAGACAGTTTCCAGCTCAGAATGTATAGTGAGCAATGAAAGTTCTTGAGAGTTTCTAAGCACTTATACTTGATAGGTTCATATTATTCAAAGAAAACATATACGATTATTTTTTGGGCCTATGATTTTTTAATTTTAATTTTAAAAAAGAAGTCAATCTTTTGGTCACAGATTCAGTTCAGTTTCATAACTTGAATTATACAAAGAATAATATTTTGTGACTTTATCAGAGAGCCTATCCTCCTCATGTGTTACAATTTGGCTAAACCGCTATGAACCTGATTTTTGCTAGTTCAGATGGAATTACATGTCTCTCAGATGATTAGAGCACAAGAGATTGGCTGTGAACATCTTTCAGTCTGTTCAAAGGTAGTCCTGGAATGAATTGCTGGATACAAAGCTGCTTGCGCCTGTACTTATGTGATGATAATTAGGTTTCCCTTTACTATAGCAGCTTCTTCCCCATCCTGTCTCACCACAACATGTCAGTGGGAAAACCAGGATGTGCTTGAAAATCTAACCATGATCTGAATCTGTTTCAGGAGTTGTGACAACTATCGTCTACGCATCAGAATACTGTATATTCCTATTTATTTTTGGTGGGAGGGAGCAATCCTGTCTTTAAGAACTTGCATCCATTAGGACCATTAACTACAAAGCTCCTGCCTAAAGTAGTTTAAGGTTCAGGGCGTGAGCCACGAGTACATGACATATCTTTGAGCATGATAAAGCTTCAGCTACCAAAGCTGCTATGGGTCATTGATTGACTAACATTTGCAGGCTCGTCAGGTGATCATTTCAGGCCTTTGTCCTTGGAAGATCTGTAAGAGTGTAAGAGTTAGAAAAATAGAAGTAGGAGATACCATGAGGTCTGTTAAGTAAAGCTAAACTTAATAATTGGTGGTGCAGTCAGATGTTGACAAAGCTCTTGTATAGTATGGAGTTCACAACTTATAGTTCCTGCAGTCTGCACGAAGTGTCGAAGTTTGGTTCAGCATCAGCATATTCTGTATTTCTAAGCTTGTTTATCAATACCTACAATAATATAATATGAGGGTTTGTTCCTCAATAAGGTTCATTATAATGTTGAGCTTGTTAGCCTTTTCTTTTATGCAATTTCTTGTATCCTTCAAAATACTTGGTAAATGGTGATTGTCACCTTTAAAATTTGCTTATTTTGTTCGAATTTAAACAGGTTGCTCCATCAAGTCGCCCTCGACTTGTAAGAAGTACTCCATAGTAAACTAGCACACTAATGTATCATAGTGTATGACAATTGTCAACAAAAAAAAACTCTGCTTATCATTAAGTTGATTACAAACCTGATCAATTTACCACAAAATTTGTTCATGTCCAACACATACCTAGACCGTACTACCTCTTAAGTCTTAAGATGTGAATTTAACTCAAATCAAGAATGGGACTTGTTAAGAGACCTTTTCAAACAAAATACAATGACTATGCAACGATAAAAGTAAGATCAAAGCGTACTATGAAACTTAAACTCTATCCTCGACTCACCCTAACCTCCATCCCAATATTCTAAACAACATTTATTAGTTGATAATTCTCAAAATCCATCCAAATTTTAACTTAAATGCCAAACAATACATCCATTTGGTACTAAACTACTCATATCTACAAACAAGTGAAAAGAGAAGCGTTATAACTAAAAAACCGTGAAAGTATAAATAATGAATATTTAAAAGAAGTATTGGGAGACTAGAAATAAAATCTCCTAAAAGGCGAAGTTCAAGAAAATGAGATGAAAATGGAGGAAAAGAGTAGTAGCAGCGTAAACAACAACGACGGAGTTAAGTTCGGGATAGAAGAAGCATGGAAGTGGGTTCCGAGTGGGACCCACTGGTGGTGGGTCATAGCTAGCGCCGCCCAATTAGGGTGGGGAATTAAGTCTTACAAAAAAGGGTTTACCGGAGATTGCCGGTTTATGCCGGCCAGAGCTTTCGGCGTTGCCTCTCTCTTCGTCGGCGCCGCCGCAACCGCCTCCGTTTCCGCCCTTAGCGCCGCCGGCATTCATAATGTGAGTTTTTTGGGAACATTTGTTGGATTTTTAGCTTTAATTTCATCAATTTTGATTAACTTGTTGTTGGGTTTTGTTGGTTGAATATAAATTGATTTGGGTTTGATTAGTTGATCATGGTTGAAATTGGTGGTTTTCCAATTGGGTGTTTTGGTTTGCATTTGAAATGAGGATCTAGGGTTTGTTTATTGAAGGGTTTAATTTGATGTTTTAGCTGATTTTTTTTTATAAATTTAATTTTAATTCATGATGGTGTTAATTATTTTAAGAACATTGAATGTAAAGTTGAGATTTTTGTGATTTAGGTTGTTTCAATGTTTGACTTAATTCTCAAGTTATCCCAAATGCAAATACAATTACAATTACAATTTCCTGATTACAAACCCTTTTTCTGGTTAGTTTTCCATTTTATGGATCAAGGTAAAAAGAATTCCCTTTAACAAAGGCGGTCGAAGAGAGTGTTTTGAAGTGATTGCATTGTACAAGAATTGAGATGCATGAAATTTTAGGCTTTGAAGTGACTGAAATGTACATGAATTGAGATTAGATGAAGTACTAGGCTTGGAGCGTTTTTGGTTCGACTAAGGTGTTCTATACCCTGAATTGACCAAAATGTTTGAGTCTTGAACCTTAATTCAATTAAATCAAACAACGTATTGCGATTTAACTTCATATTCATGAACTCGAGAACTTCCATTGTGTATCCTGTACCCAGTTGTTTGCTTATTTTTTATGTTTCCTTTAGATAGCTTAAAATGACCAATTGAGCCAAATATACCTTCCAACTATAGGTACACTGAAGAGGCAAAGAATATGCACAATTCTGCTCACTTTAAGAAATTAGGAACGCTGATAAATAAGTGGTGTTCAAATGTGCTAGAATAGTCTATTTTGAGCAGGAAGGAATGAAAAAAAGTTCATATCATTGTTCTTTTATATGCCTGAACCTTAGTCAAGCTAGCGAAACTACATTTTCTCCTGGGAAGTGAGGGAATTTCGATTGATTAATTCATTTAATTGTTCTAATAATTGTTACATACTGGAGTCATGCTCTTGTTTTTCCTTTCATCATTGAGGTCATCACCATTTGTCTCTTCAAGATTTAATCAAAATCAACCTAATGTTGGTTGATTGTGCTATAGCTGATTTTATTTCTCAGTATCTACTTCACTTTAGCTTGTAGGCTCCTCTGGATTCCGATGCTATACTTATGATTTTAATCGAAATGGTTTCTGACTGGATTTTACAAAATGTTTTGCCTATTTTTATTACATGCCTGCACCTTTTTTTTTTTCCCCCTCCTTTTGTTTGAGTCCCAATTTCAGAATTTCTAGCCAGCAATTATCATGCATAAATTTTTTGCATAGAAGGTCATCTATGTTACTTATCCTAAAAGGCTGCGCATCTTTTTTAGGTGGAGGATATGAAAGAAGCTGGTGCTAATATTAGGACAGGACTGGGCGTTCCTCCTCGAAACAAGGCCAATTAACATCGTCTTTGGCTATTCTATACTTAGATTTTACTGCACCTTGTTCGAATTAACCCGAAGACTTCCTTACCAGGTGCAGTTCAGCTCTAGAACACGAGTTTAGGGACACATTGCTCTTGGGCATAACTAAAGGGAAATTCGACAAAAGTGCTTGTGCTATGGCATCGATCTTTTTTTTCTTCTTTTCCTCAGCTTCTTTTCTTAGGCTTTGCATCTACAATCAATTTATTATGGATTATATTCAGTAAACTCTCAATTTTGCTAAAATTCTTCCTGCTTGTTCATCAACTCACCATGTCACCATTGTGTTACACTGATGAATTTTCAGTGGGACTCGGGTATTATTAGACTTACGCTGAGGAAATTTCACTTTTTATTTTTATTTGATATATAAAGTTTCACAATTATTTAGCATGAATTATTTTGAATGTGAAAGAAAAGTAGTTATATTTTCTTAAAATGTTATTACTTTTGAAGGGCTTTTCAAGATGATGAATAGCATATGATATGGTAATTAATGGTATAACAAATTTAAATTTTTTGTTACTTTAATCGGTTATGCCATATTCTTGAGGAAACGTAGTAGTAGTGCCTTGAGCTTGTGCAATATGCCAATCACTTTGATGACTTCTGATTTTAAGTTTCAATTATAGTGACCTAATGTTAAAATTATTATCAACAACCCATTAAATTAATTCGGCACTAGTATTAACTTAATCAATACTGTAGTTGTTAGGCCATAAGTATGGTTCTAGTGAACCTTTTTTTTTTGTTTCTGCTAAAACAGTGAACTAATTTTTCTATTAGATTTTTTTTTTTTTTTTTTGGGTATAAGTTTTTTTCCTTGCTGGTTTTTGGGGTTAGTGGTTAGAACTTAAAATTGTTTTTTTTTACTGATTTGGAACTTTTTTTCCTCTTATCTAAGCTGATTTTCATTGATTGAAATTAATTTTAATCAATGTACATCATTCTCTGAAGTGATCAACCGTAGATTATAAAAATCTAACCATGAAGAGTAATAAATCACTTTCATATCCCATACACGATAAAAAGAATAATGGCGATAAAAAGATAGAAATTCTCACTTCATATTCATGACAAAAACTTTCTTTTTTTTATTTCCTTTTAAAACAACAATTGAAGTGCACGCGTATAATCAAAACAACGTGTATGGTCAAGATAACAAGTAATTAAGAATCGACTTAAAATTGATAGGCGGTCCAAATTAACAAAGAATATATTCATTATTTGCTGCTTGGGCTGTTGCTGAAGGTAAATTTTTGTTAAACTAATACTTGACACATCAAACAAAAATCTATCAAACTGTCTTTTACAAGAATTTGTCTTATGTAGTAGTTAACTTTTTATCCATAAATTACGAGTACAATATGTACAACAATACTATGTAATGAATATAATGAACACATGCATAGGTCAATTCGTCGTGCATTCTGGTTTAGTATGTTTATTTAATCCTCGTCGTAATTTGTAGGGGAAACACCTGGTTTATGTGAGGACTTTAAAAGGAGACCAAAAAGATGAACCTGGTAGCACGAGGTACTTTATTGATCTGCAGGCATCTGATGATCTCAAGATTAACACGTATTATGCGCAAGTTCTTGAAATAGCCGGTCTAACCCCTACTAAAAAGAAGCTTGAAGTGTTCAAGCGTCAAGAAAATGCACCCATTGCGGTTGCTAACTAATCTTCAACAATAAATGCTGGGCTAAGAAGCCATTTTTTGTGTGCTTATATAAGTTACATCAAAATATATTTGAAGTTATATATTACTACGTATGTATTATGTACTAGTGAAATAATATAAACAAGTCTTGGATGACTTGATTTATGCACCAGTGCTACTGTGTAATACTTTGTACTATTATTACCTAAATAAACTACTGCTAGTGGTTGGATCTTAATTCGATCTATATAAGTGTGCATGCACATTTTAAATTTGCCAATTTCGTATACTTTAAATATCTTAAACTATAAACTTTCTAAAAGAACACATGTAAGCATCCCATATTGAGAAGAGAAAAGAGAGTTACAAACTTTATAAGACTAAGAGATTGCTTCTCCTATTGCCATATTGTTTTGGGATGGAACCTACTTGGATTTGTGAAGTAGACTCTCTCTCTCTCTCTTGGTTGCCCACACTTGTATTATTCAAAGATTAAATGAAGAATTTAATAAAATTATGAAAGCTTCATATCCGAAAAACATACATAAATATAAATCAATAATACTCCGATATTTTTACTAAAAAATCAAAGTTTAGTTAAATTAAGAAATAACTAGATCAAATTCTTGTCAAAAAAAAAAAAAGAATGAATCAAATCATATTAAAAATAAAAAAAAAATCTCCGATCTTAATATATAACAACAATAAGGTGAATTGGTATTAGTGCTTTGGCATTCGGGTTTGGGTAATTTTGGGCATCGACCGTCCTTGTGGTATGTTTTGGGTCTTAGGGTTGGTCTTGGCTTGTTGTTTGTGTGTTTTAACTCTTTAACCGTGCTCTTCAAAATGGGGGCTCCCATTAGTTTCTTTTAAGAAAATTTAGTATCTTTAACCCAAGCCTCGAACATATTGGTCTAGAGCAGAGTTGAACAGCTCGTACCTAAGAAATTGAGGTGACATGTTTGCATGATTAGTAGCACATAATAGTCATTTTGACAAATGCAAACTTAATTATGAAGGTAAAGAGAAATTTGAGGGGTATATAAAGGCATAAAGTACACTCAAACACAAAATCCAATATATGAAAGGGTAAGTAAAAATTATACTAAACATAGCACCAGGTTAATGAAGGAAAAATAGTGACCAAAGTAGAGGATAAAAACCAGAAATTAACGCTTTGATGAAGAATAAAATCATCAAAGAACACATCGAGCCGATGCTATTTGCCAACATAGCACATTGCAATTCCTCTTATCTAAGCTGACTAGATGAAAGCCCGTGCGATGCACTATCTTTCATACATATATCTCAAGAAAAGATATTTTCCTATATACTCTAAGGCTTTTTTTATTTTATTTTTTTTATATAATTATTTGATTTATTTTATAATTTAATAATTTCAGAAGAAAAAAAAACAAATAATAATTTAATTAAAATGATATTGCCAATTACAAAAGTATAAATTTTTTAATGTAATTTATAATGCGACTTAATTTATTGTTGTTTTGTATTTTATTCGTTGTTGTTAGTTATATGACAATAATATAATATCTTTCAAAAAAAAAAATTGTAAATATGATATTTCATTGATTACATATTAGGATAAGATCTTTAATATGAAAAATAGTAATTTTTTATTTTTAAAATAATTTAAATCCTAAATCATTATTCGTTGCCTTTTACACTTGAAATTAAACTCTCAAATCTATATACTTCCTCCATTCTTTTAATATCGCATCACTTGCCTTTTAGGGAAGTTTCACAAATATTGCACCACTTTCATTTTAGGACAAAAAATACTATGTTTACACTGTAAATACCCAACATACCCTTACTTTTTCACACTTTTTATTTTATCTTTACATTACATGGAAAATTTTGTATTTTTACGTTTCTTTCTCTTACTTTTTTCCATTACCAAATTTTGCCTCCAAAACCCTATGATGCAATAAAAAAAGAACGGAGGAAGTATCATTTTGTATATTTCTTGTAATCTCTATATCTCTAACAAATTATCTGTCTTTTCAATTTTTTAGACACAAAATGTTTAAAGAAGGTAAAGTTTTTAATTGCATTATAGTTTTAAATTTTTTTTATGAAAAAAACATCTTATTAATCGAGTATTTAGATAAAACCATTAATTTCATAAGATAAATTTTATTTTTGTTTAATAATTTAAATCCTAATATCCCGTGGTTTTTTATACATAAAATCTCATAAAGATAATTTTTAGTTTTGTAAATAAATTAAATCCTAATAAATCAATATTCGTTGTTTTTACTTACGTGGAAAAATTCTTATATCTCATTCGTCACTTTTGTTTAGGTGGAAAACGAATTTTTTAATTCCAAAATAAAATAAAAATCTAATTTTTAATTGATCGAAAATATACCTTTGCTTATGTGGCGTGTCGAATGCTCTTGAAAAATGTCTACTTTATTTATATATTAGATTTTTATTGATTGAAAATAATTTTAATCGATGTACATCATTCTCTGAAGTGATCAAGGCTGTAGATTATAAAAATCTAACCATGAAGTATAATAAATCATTTTCATTTCATATACATGATAAAAAGAATCAATGGCGATAAGAAGATAAAAGTTATCTCTTCATAATCGTGAGATAAGTGACAATTTTTTTATTTATTTCCCTTTAAGACAACATATGAAGTGCACGCGTATCATCAAAACAACGTGTATGATCAGAATAACAAGTAATTAAGAATCGACTTAAAATTGATAGGCGGTCCAAATTAACAAAGAATATATTCATTATTTAATAAGCCACATAATCTGCTCGAACAAAAAAAGAAAAGAAATTATTGATTCCATTTTCCAATCCTATAAATAGAGAGGGCTTCCGCAACACATACATACAATACAAACAATACACACCCTACATAACACAAAATCATACGCAAAAATGAGTTCCTCTGCTCAACTGAAGAACACCTCTGGAGGTTTTGAGCCTGTCGACCCAAGCGATCCAAAGATCCAAGAGGTCGCTGCTTGGGCTGTTGCTGAGCATAACAAGCAAAAGGTTAATTTTTATTAAACTAACACGTCAAACAAAAATCTATCAGACCATCTTTTACAAGAATTTGTCTTAGAGTTCACCTTTTTATCCACAAATTAGGACTACCAGATGTACAAGTGTATAGCAATACTATGTAATCAATATAATGAACATATTCATAGGACAATTTTATAATACTACCTACCAATAATACGCTATATTATGGTCTATGGAGTATTCTTAAAATCAATTAATTACTTTACGTTACAAATAATACAACTTTTGAACTAGTTTTGATCGAGTCCAAATCCTCTGCCCCATAAATTTGTTTTTTGATCAAGTCCAAATCCTGTCCCATATATGATATATCTATACCATTATATGTTCGTTCCTCTTAACATGCATGTCGTGCGTTCTGGTTTAATATGTTTATTTGATCCTCATTGTAATTTGTAGGGGACACACCTGGTGTATAAGAGGACTTTAAAAGCAGCACGAGAAGCCATGATTGGTAGCACGAGGTACTTTATTGATCTGGAGGCATCTGAAGGTTGCAAGACTAACAAGTATTATGCGCAAGTTCTTGAAATAGTCTGTCAAACCCCTACTAAGGAGCTTGAAGTGTTCATGCTCCAAGAAAATGCACCCATCCCGGTTGCTAACTAATCTTCAACAATAAATTTGCGTAGCAATTTCTGGTGT